CCATAACTACAACAATCATACAATTTGAACTACAACTATGATAATTACTCCATGCTGAAGAATGATAAGACATGTAGTTCAAGCATACAATGGGTACCATGGTGGGGAAGGGATTACTGTAAAGCTCATCAAATTATGGTATGTCAAAATATCCTGCGGTCATGTTTACCATGTTCATCAGTCTCAGCCGGATGTGGAATGTTCCTAGGAGTAATTATTAAATGAAAATGTCAGTTTTGACTTCGTAACTTCCTGGCTATGTAATTTACTGGGAAATCTGAAATCAAAAGTTTCTAAGAATCCTCTTCCACTCATGACACTTTTTATGAAGTACAGCTGAAGCATCTTCTGCAGAATTCACTGTAAATATTGCACTCATCAGAAGCTTGACAATGCTGATAATCTCAAAAGAAATTTACTATATGCTTAAGATATTATTGTGCTACTATAGCATCAAGAAATGATTGGTTGCAAACATCCAATGCTAGCTTATTTGCTCAGTCTCAGCAAGAAAGTAGAACATAACTACTATTTTTAGGAACTTGGTTGTATATGGAATCAGGTAATCCTGACTCTTTTAGATGGAAACTCTGATCTATGTCAGCTCTATAAAAATGTGCAGAAATTCACCACACTTAAGCAGATAAGTTTTATCCCCTTCTCATATTTCTGAGCAGAGAGACTAATGGAAACTCTTCCATCGAACAGAAGGTGCTTTCTTTTCAGCCACTTACGGAAATAATCAATGTGGGTCACATTCAGTCTGGCTGGATGTTAGTCATGTAAAACCTAATCCTTCCTACAGGAGTTTTTTTCCCCTTATGTCATGTTCGGAGCATTTTAAGTTTTCCTTGACAATAAATAGAAATCTGCTCATGAACATATGATTCAGGATTTGCATGCAAAGTGTAATAGAACAATAAAGAGATGAGTAAATGATGTCACAGAAACAGATTAACTCTTTTGGGCTTTTAAAAAGTGCACGTGTGCTGGAAAAATCTACACAAGGGGGAGGGAAGGAAAGCTTATATTTTGCATGACTGCAGGGACATAAGTCAGTGAAGGTGCATTTTTTTCAGGCTGAATTGTGTTATAAGCACACCCCTTTAACATGTGCTTTTTAGCTCCTAACCCGATCCCTCCCACACTGTGCAGGTGCAGCTGTACCAGGAGCTCCAATTCTGTTTGCTTTGAATTGAATGTTTGTTGTAGTCCTAAGTTTCAGGGACTCTGCAGATAGGTGGCTTCTTTTGGCTGCAATCATAGGGCAAGCCACCTGTCAATTATCGTTAGGTTCCCTGGTCCCGCCCCCTTTTTGGGTTTTGGAGGGAATAGGAGCCATTTTGAGTTCAGTCCACACAGAGAAGCCTTTCATGCAGGACATAATACCAAGAGCTCCTGTAGAAAGCTTCGTCTTCTACGATTTGGCCGGGGAGATATACAGCTCACAGCTTGGCCGGGGTTATACAGCCCACAGCTTGGCCGAGGATCATACAGCCTTACAGCTCCTTTGCTGAGGGACTTCAGCCAGCCATCACTGAAACCTGAATATCTTCTTTTCCCCTGGAAGTCTACAAAGCTCTGCTTGGTAAGGGTCACTCGCGGAAGCCAGAAGCAATTGGTACCGGGTGCAGGGGCTCCACGCCAACAGAGGCAAAGACAGACTGCCCAGATTAGAAGTTAAGGATTTCCCCATTAGTTAAAACAGTTATGAAGATAGTGCCTGTTCCCTGTGGACAAGATTGAGAGAGAGCCAATAGACTGTTAAGAAAGCCTTAAAGTACCTGTTTGATTTCAATAATAAAGAACTTTGTTGAACCTTTGAGCAATCTAAAGACTCTGTTTTAAGGAAATCCAAAGGCCTTTAATCTGAGGCAGCCCCGGCGTCCCGTTGGGCACACAGAATTTATGTCCTGTCTACAGTCTGATGCACAGGCCCAGCGTGCGACAGCACATGCATTAATTCTGCAGTGTAGACACACTTGCTTCTGAGTTTTACAGCATGTGCAGAAGGGCCCAGTGTGTATGTGTGATGGGGGGAGTGGGGAAGGAAGTCTGTTAATACTATATGTAATTGTTTTTGATGGTATTTTATCTTGTGGGGGCATTGATTGCCAAATGCAAACTGCCGCGAGTCGCCTCCGGGATGAGAGGGGCGGTATACAAGTATAGTAAATCTATATAAATAAAAAAGTAATATGTTCGTTTGTGGATTAACAGAACTCAAAAACCACTGGGCGAATTGACACCAAATTTGGACACAAGACACCTAACAACCCAATGTATGTCCTTCACTCAAAAAAATTGATTTTGTCATTTGGGAGTTGTAGTTGCTGGGATTTATAGTTCATCTACAATCAAAGAGCATTCTGAACTCCACAATGATGGAATTGAACAAACCTTGGCACACAGAACTCCCATGACCAACAGAAAATACTGGAAGGGTTTGGTGGGCATTGACCTTGAGTTTTGGGGTTGTAGTTCGCCTACATCCAGAGAGCACTATGGACTCAAACAATGAAGGATCTATTTGTGCCAAACTTGGCACAAAACATTCAATATGCTCAAATGAAACATGGGTTTTGTGTATAGAATAAAAGAGTTGGAAGATACCTCATGGGCCATCCAGTCCAACCCCCTGCCAAGAAGCAGGAATATTGCATTCAAATCCTCCTTGACAGATGGCCATCCAGCCTCTGTTTAAAAGCTTCCAAAGAAGGAGCCTCCACCACACTCCGGGGCAGAGAGTTCCACTGCTGAACGGCTCTCACAGTCAGGAAGTTCTTCCTCATGTTCAGATGGAATCTCCTCTCTTGTAGTTTGAAGCCATTGTTCCTTGTCCTAATCTCCAAGGAAGCAGTAAACAAGCTTGCTCCCTCCTCGCTGTGGCTTCCTCTCACATATTTATACATGGCTATCATATCTCCTCTCATCCTTCTCTTCTTCAGGCTAAACATGCCCAGCTCCTTAAGCCGCTCCTCATAGGGCTTGTTCTCCAGACCCTTGATCATTTTAGTCGCCCTCCTCTGGACACATTCCAGCTTGTCAATATCTCTCTTGAATTGTGGTGCCCAGAATTGGACACAATATTCCAGGTGTGGTCTAACCAAAGCGGAAAAGAGGGGTAGCATTACTTCCCTAGATCTAGACACTATGCTCCTATTGATGCAGGCCAAAATCCCATTGGCTTTTTTTGCCGCCACATCACATTGTTGGCTCATGTTTAACTTGTTGTCCACAAGGACTCCAAGATCGTTTTCACACGTACTGCTCTCGAGCCAGGCATTGTCCCCCATTCTGTATCTTTGCATTTCGTTTTTCCTGCCAAGGTGGAGTATCTTGCATTTGTCCCTGTTGAACTTCATTTTGTTAGTTTTGGCCCATCTCTCTAATCTGTCAAGATCGTTTTGAATCCTGCTCCTGTCCTCTGGAGTATTGGCTATCCCTCCCAATTTGGTGTCGTCTGCAAACTTGATGATCCTGCCTTCTAACCCTTCATCTAAGTCATTAATAAAGATGTTGAACAGGACTGGGCCCAGGATGGAACCCTGCGGCACTCCGCTCATCACTTCTTTCCAGGATGAAGAGGAAGCATTCGTGAGCACCCTCTGGGTTTGTCCATTTAACCAGTTACTGATCCACCTCACCATAGTTTTGCCTAGCCCATATTGGACTAGTTTGTTTGCCAGAAGGTACAATTCCTGAATCTTGACATTCGGGAATTGTAGTTGCTGGGATTTATAGTTCACCTACAATCACAGAGTATTCTGAACCCCACCAACGATAGAATTGGGCCAAACCTCCCACACGGAACCTCCATGTGGGCCACAGCAACGCGTGGCAGGGGACGACTAGTAAATAAATAAATAAATAAATAAATAAATAATCATTCCATTTGATCAATCTGTCTATCAGATCAATGCAATCAGGATGTCTTTGAGAAGTCACACTTTCACAGTAGTTTCCAATTCACTCGAAATGTGTATATGCACAACTACAATAATTTAATTAATTAATTAATTATTTACTACATTTATAGACCACCCCTCTCAGCCTACAGGCGACTCAAGGTGGTTTACAGTCAGCATCAAAACCATAAATACGATTAAAACAGTTAATTTAAATATAAAACGAATAAAACAGTCAATATCAATTAAAAATATATCAATTAGAGTCTCTTTCTTAAAAGCATTATCCAATAGTGCCGTACAGTCGTTATGTTTTTTCTCCCTATGTCTGTTATATTACGTTTGCAAACACTTGCTCAAAAAGCCAAGTCTTGACTTTTTTTTCCGGAATGTTTTCCGGGCCGATCTGATATCCCTAATTTCCCAATTCAAAGAAATGATTGTGTTTCTTGAACCCAGCAGATACAGTAAACGTCTCTTAATAACCAGATGATCTGAAACTGTCAAATGCAATTTCATAAAATCTTTATTGCCTCACTTGTTACTTGTAATATTTTGTACAGGACCTTGATTTTGGTATTTGTTTCTTTAAGGAAATTGAGTCATCATCGGGATTGTAGCGCAGCTGGCTGAGTGTCAGCTGCATTAAGATCACTCTGACCAAAAGTCATGAGTTCGAAGCCAGCCCGGGTTGGAGTGGGTTTCCAACCAATTGTGTAGCCTGTTGTCGACCTTTGCAACCCGAAAGACAGTTGCATCTGTCAAGTAGGAAAATAAGGTACCACCTTAAAGTGTGGGGAGGCTAAATTAACTGATTTATGAGGCCATAAAGAAGACTCCAGCAAAGCATTCCAGCGGGGAAGCATGCGGGGAATGCGGAAGTGCTTCATCAGTGTCGCAGATGGACGATGAAAGCAACAGCTCCCCTGGTGGCCAGAAAAAGTTAAATAGCCTCTGTGTATGTCTGTATATGTTTGTATGTCAAAAATTGGCATTGAATGTTTGCCATATATGTGTACACTGTAATCCGTGAGAAGGAGGGAATATAAAAGCTGTAAATAAATAAATAAAATAAACAAATACTCTTATCAATAGATCTGTTGTTCACTTTATGTCCGACTTGCATTTAAAAGTTGATCAACATTATATTAGGAATGAATGTATATGTAGGAATAATGTTGGTTCGTTCTCCTTATTGGATCATAAGAAATAAACTTCCTCTCGAGGCAGAAACTAGAACATATCCAGCCGTATTTGTCATTCATCTGCCCCACATTTTGGTGACAACAGCTTCATAAAAATAGAGTGAAACCAGTAGCAGATTACAGAGGAAATCCTTTGGTGGCTGATTAAAATACAAGTAGGTTGCAAATAGATGACTGATTTCAGGACTGCTGTAGCTGGTTAAAGGGGACCAAACCTTCAAGGAAGACAGCCATGGTTCCCTTTGACCAGCCAGAGCAGGACTCAGTTTGTGCCTGCAAGTGGCCAGTCTGAACTCGAGGTCATTCTGCCTGTGCCGTCTTCAAGAGCTCATGCCTGTAATGTACAAGAACTGAAATTTACCAAAATGCACTGGCTGTAAAATGTTGCATGATTGATTTTTAAGAGTGTATACATATCAGCTTTCCATCTCAAAATGCAAACATCCTTGCAATCATGAAAGGAGCTACTTCATGGCTAACTTTGCTGCTAGGAGACTTGAATCAGAAGGGTTGGAAAAAGGTTTTAGGAAGAGAATCCTCTGTTCCGATGCCGTCTTCTTATATGTGCTTCTGCTACTTTCCTGCTGATCAAAGAAACAACGTGAAAGACTAGTTAAAGAAAATATAAACAGAAATACTATGGAACCAGTTAACTTCAATGGGATCCTAATGAAACACTGGCATATGTTTAAACATTTATCTTACCTCCTAAAGCTATAAAGAAACACAAAATGCAAATGCCCTGATGTAAGGTGGTAGACTACTTCTCTCCTATAATACATTAAATAAAACACTTTAAAGGACACTGAGTATAATTAAGTGTTTAAAATATCAAGAAAGCATTAGGCATTGTTAGGTTCGGTTGGAATCTTCATAATTCGGAATAAACTAGGAAAGATTTGCTTTTTGAAGTGATTTCGAAGTTTTTAAGGAAACCAGAAGTCTCTTTGCCCTTCCGAAGGTTTTTCCGCCATTTCTGTTACAAAGCAGTAAGTGAGTCGGAAATGATTCAGTTTTTCCCCACTTCTGGTCCCTGGCCTCGGCTCAAGCTAGAGAAGCCATTTTAAACCAGAGTGGATGATTTTCCTCCCTTTCCTCCTCCCTGCTTCTGTCTCAAGACAGAGAAGCCATTTAAAACCAGAATGGATGATTTTCCTCCCTTTCCTTCCCCCCTGCTTTTGTCTCAAGCCAGAGAAACCAGTTTTAACCAGAGTGGATGAATTTCCTCCTTTTCCTCCCCCCCTGCTTCTGTCTCATGCCTGGGAAGCCATTTTAAACCAGAGTGGATGATTTTTCTCCTTTTCTTCCCCCCCCACTTCTGTCTCAAGCCAGAGAAGCCATTTTAAACCAGGGTGGATGAATTTCCTCCCTTTCCTCCCCCTGCTTCTGTCTCAAGACAGAGAAGCCATTTAAAACCAGAATGGATGATTTTCCCCCCTTTCCTCTCCCCCAAGCTTCTGTCTCAAGCCAGAGAAGCAATTTTAAACCAGAGTGGATTAATTTCCTCCCTTTCCTTCCCCCTGCTTCTGTCTCAAGCCAGAGAAGCAATTTTAAACCAGAGTGGATTAATTTCCCCCCTTTCCTTCCCCCCTGCTTCTGTCTCAAGCCAGAGAAGCCGTTTTAAACCAGAGTAGATAATTTTCCTCCCTTTCCTTTCCCCGCTTCTGTCTCAAGCCTGGGAAGCCGTTTTAAACCAGAGAAGGATGAATTTTCTCCCTTTGCTTCCCCCTCTTGCTTCTGGAGTAAAACAATTACTTTCAAAGTAAGGAGCACCCAATGAAACAGGAAATAACACTTTCAAACCATTAAGGAAGGATTTGGAAGTCCCAGAAGTTCAAAAAGTTTTGAACATTTTTTTCTGTGAAAATTGGAATTGACTTTAGAATTGAACCACCATCCAAAATGAGTTTTGAACCATTTTTTTTTATCAAACAAGCCTAGAAAGCATCCCTGGCCATACTAGGATGAATGGCAGCAGCAGATAAAGCTTGCTTTCAGTGAGGCATTGGCCAGAGAAAGAGTTAGCCAAGGATCTTGCAGCATGGTTTTAAGACTCATGCGTAGGTGATGAAAGCCCAGTCCAGTGGCAGATAACTTGATTTGCTTAGTGCAAAATAACCATCAGAACTTTTCAGGATTTCATGTGACCATATCAGAATATTTGGATGTTCCTCAAGGGGAATCACTAGCTAGAGGCTAAACACGAAACACGCTGCTCCACCTCTGAACTCCTTCTCTGACAGCCTCATTCATTCGGCAGCTAGCTAAGGGATTTGAGAACATGAAAAACCATAAAATCTGACATCTGTGAACACACACAATCCCAGCGTAGAATGATACATTACAAGTCACAGTAACAACACATAATGCCCTTTAAACAGTTTTGCTTCTGAAACAAAACCTTAGAGGAAGAGACCCCACTTTTGTTAGTTTTAATCACCTGCCAGCTGTCACTCAATCCCTGTTTTTTTACAAAGCTGGCCCAGCTGTACCTGCTTGACAGCTGCCAGGTCTATGGAACAACTAGGCATGTGACATTTCAAATAGGCCAAAAGAAACATTTTCCTAAACCACACTGAACCCGTGTGAGTGGTGTATCTCATTGTCAGCTGTAGACTTTGGCTGTCTCCAAAATAAGACCAACTTAAAGATAGAAGAACTTTATTCAAAAGTGCAGGACAGGTTACTACATGCTATTATTATCAGACCTGTAGATTGCTACCATAATACACAGTTATAGGTTTTGCACTCAAACATCATCCATTTTCTGATTTCACATATAAATGGCCTTGGGTCTCAGGATTTTCCTTCTCCCCAGTGAAAGTCCTACTTCTTCCTCTTCCAGATGTCTTGTTATTGCAATAAGATGTACCCATCTCCCACTAAGCATAAGATGCAGCTGGTCAGTACCTAACACTACCCCAACTCCTATCAGCTATAACCTTCAAGCAATAAGAAATTTAACCTATCATTACTATCAATGCATATTATTAATAAGATACAGCATTAATAAGGTCTAGCAGTATAAAAACGTCATAATTTATTTATTTTATTTACAGTATTTATATTCCGCCCTTCTCACCCCGCAGGGGACTCGGGGTGGATTACAATGAACATATACATGGCAAACATTCAATAATAGACACTCAACATATATAGACATATATAAACCAGTATAGGCCACTTGTTAACTAGAATAATTCTACATATATTTATCAAATTTCCAATAATTTGAGTAGAGTTCTGCATTAGAAATTGCACAATATATCTTTTAAGGGAAATATTTTATTCGATGTAGCACAAAATACAAAACGCATAGTGTTTTTCTCCTCTGTATTGCATTCTAGTGACAACTCAATTGATTCCAGCTAAAGCAGTGGTTCTCAACCTGTGGGTCCCCAGATGTTTTGGCCTTCAACTCCCAGAAATCCTAACAGTTGGTAAACTGGCTGGGATTTCTGGTAGGCCAAAACACCTGGGGACCCACAGGTTGAGAACCACTGACCTTAAGGATAAAATAATAGTCCTCTCTTGACTTACGACTTCATCAGATGGTGTTTTTTCAGTGGCACGTGCTGCTTCATCTACAGTTTTATGGCAGAGCCCACTGGCTCCCATCCCATGATGTTGAATTGCTTCAGTCAAGGCTCACTGTAACAACATGGTAGGTGTCCTGTGTTACATGGCAATGGGGGAAGCCAGGCAGCCGACGCTTCCCCCATGAGATGGGGCAACAAGTGAGTTGGGTGATGCGGGGCATGAGGCAACGGGTTCCCCCCAGCAAGCACCACTGAATTTGCTATGATGCATGGTAATTTCAGTGGCACATATGAGAATATCCTTAGAAATTATGCAAAGAGGAAAGCTTGTGACGATTCTTTGATATTGCTTCCCTTTCATCCTTTACCTCCACTCAGCCAAGAAGTAAAAACAAGGAATACACTGGGAAGATGGAATTAGATACACTATACTAACAGGAAAAGACTGTACTGTCTGTCCTCATAAATTGAGTTTTAGGTTCCAGAGTTCTGACTTCATTCTGTGGCTTTGGATTAATTTCCACCAAGAAGTGATTTGCATTCAGTGGTTTCGAAACGTAACCACAATTTTCATCTTAACCTATTTGATCATTCTAAATATGATTGCTAAGATAATTTTCTTGCAACGGGTTCACAGTTAAATTGAACCTATATTTTTATATAACAAAAGTGATAAACATATAGCTATGTACCCCTATTCAAACATATACATTAATAATGTTCTTTTAAAGCTTAAGGATGGCTGAGCAAAAGAAGATAGACGCTTTTGAACTGTGGTGTTGGAGGAAAATTCTGAGAGTGCCTTGAGCCGCAAGAAGAGCAAACCAGTCCATACTCCAGGAAATAAAGCCCGACTCCACTATATTGTCCTGAATCACAGTATCCTTGCAGTAATAAAGGGATAATTAGCCCAGTAAAGTTGGGCTGTGGATAGGGAACCAGGCACCATTCATCAGGAAGAGGAACCAAAATGCAGGATGGCATGGTGGTACCACCTCTCTTGAAAAAAAATGGAAGAAAACCAACAGCTAAAGGGATTGGTTGCACAGATCAGGGATTGTTTTCCTTCAAGAAGATCTGAGGCAAAGAAGTGCAAGGCTGATAGGTAGCAGCTCCAGGAGGAATTGATCCAAATGTAAGGCTTCATATATACCTCATGCTGGATAGGGATGGTAGCAATTTGCTAAAGACCAATATAATGATGATGAAGATGATGATGATGATGATGATGATGTTGAAGAAGAAGAAGCAGCCACTTAAACCTAGCACCAGGGGCGGCTCAACCCATTACGCAAAGTAAGCATTTGCAGTATAGTTGATTTTGCCCAGGGGCGCTCTTGAGGCGCTCTTGGGGGAAAATAGTCCTTGACATATGCGAGTTGTAGTTACTGGGATGTATAGTTCACCTACAATCAAAGAGCATTCTGAACACTACCAATGATGGAATTGAACCAAATATGGCACACAGAACTCACATGACGAACAGAAAATATATATCAGTGATTGGTTGGGGCGAGGGGAGTGCCAAAATATTGTTTGCTTACCGTTGAAAATTACCTAGGGCCTCCTCTGCCTAGCACTAAGGTGAAGTGGGAATCTGAACGCAAAACAGCTTCTAAGGAGCTTAAACTGTTTAGTTTGTGCCTAATCTCAAACACCTTGATCCCACATAGGCTTTTGCGATGTTTTTGTGAATGCTAGTGATGTGGCACTGGGGGTTTCTTTCCTTGTAACAGGATGGAAGGGATTATTTTTGGGTCTTGAACACACCTGGCGTCTTTGGGAGAAAGATCTTGCAGCCATCAAGCAGGCTCCTGAGATGTGGCAACATTTATTAAAGGGAGCTATTTGCCCCTTTGAGGTGTTGACTGACCACAAAAACCTGGGAGCATTGCAGATACTTAGAAGACTGAGTCCCAAACAGGTTAGATGAGCAAAGCTCTTTTATAAGGCTTTTTGAAACTTTTGGAAATAAGAACAACTGATGAGCACTGCACATCTTCTGCAAACAGACAGAGGATAAATAAAGTGTTAGAAGAATACTTATGTTGCTATAAAAATTTCGACATAACAATTGGCTCAGCTTGCTCTTGTTTGGAGAACTGACATCTTGTCTCCTGGATATGCCATCAGCTGGAGACCTCTGCCCCAGCACCAACTGTCGCTCTGGGCCAGAGTGAAGAGAGGGGAGGCCAGGGGACAGTTCCACCTTGTCTCCTGTGCTATTCTAATAATGTAGTATAATATAAATATATTGTATGTACATATAATATTTATAATATTATAATAATAATAATAATAATAATAATATATAATTATATATTTATATTACATGTAATATTACTAATAATATTACATTATAGTGGAATGTTTAAGGCTGATATTGTACTATGCTAATAATATAATATATTGTATGTAATATACACCTTGTAAGCCACTCTGAAGGTGCCCCCGGTGGCGCAGTGGGTTAAAGCACTGAGCTGCTGAGCTTGTTGACCAAAAGGTTCGATTCCGGGGAGCGGCGTGAGCTTCCGCTGTCAGTCCTAGCTTCTGCCAACCTAGCAGTTTGAAAACATGCAAATGTGAGTAGATCAATAGGTACCACTCTGGCAGGAAGGTAACGGCGCTCCATGCAGTCATGCTGGCCACATGACCTTGGAGGTGTCTATGGACAACGCTGGCTCTTCGGCTTAGAAATGGAGATGAGCACCACACCCCAGAGTCAGACATGACTGGACTTAATGTCAGGGGACTACCTTTACCTTTACCTTAAGCCACTCTGAGTCCCCTTCGGGGTGAGAAGGGCAGCATATAAATGTCATAAATAAATAAATAAATAAATAATACTTCAGTGGGTCAAAGTAATGATCACTCCCTATTTGAAATTGTGTGAAATTGCTGAGCTTTGAGGTCAACAAGTTTGAACCAGTGCTTTGGCAAGGATGGCTTCATCAAGACCGCATTGCCCAGCCTGACATAGAGTTTGACACCAGATTATGTCAAACAGACTTACAAAAGATATGCTGACAAAAAGTGGGGCCCAAACTGGAATTTTTAAAGTGGGACAAGAAACCTATTTGTCCACCAATTTTTGAAGAGCCGGAAACTTTAAAAATATCTTGCAGCAAAATATGCGGGACCATTTCTTATAAAAAGATTTGTAAATGGGGTGAGTGTGGAGGTGGTTTTACCTAAAACTTACAAATTAACCCTGTGTTTTATTTCAGTTTGCTAAAAAGGGTGGCGGATTTGGACCTGTGATGTCAAACAGGTGTCAAAGATTCTAGACCAGGGGTCCTCAAACTAAGGCCCGGGGGCCAGATACAGCCCTCCAAGGTCATTCACTTGGCCCTCGCCCAGGGTCAACCTAAGTCTGAAACGACTTGAAAACACACAATATCAACAATCCTATCTCATCAGCCAAAAGCAGGCCCACACAGCCCATTGAAATACTAATAAGTTTATATTTGTTAAAATGGTTCTTCATTTTAATTATTGTATTTTAAGTGTTTTTGCACTACAAATAAGATATGTGCAGTGTGCATAGGAATTCATTCATGTTTTTCAAATTATAATCCGGCCCTCCAACAGTTTTAGGGACTGTGACCTGGCCCTCTGATTAAAATGTTTGTGGACCCCTGTTCTAGACTATAAAATTCACAAGGGCAAATCACAGCATTTTGTACACCGGAAACACTTTCTAACAGGGGAGTAAGAGTGGGTAGACTCCACACATTTGTGGCTTCCATGTTGAAGCTGACATTTCATTCCCATTATCCTGATATTCCAGTGAAACGTACAAGCAGAATTTTTAGTTAAACTGAAGGGTTTTTTGTGATCAAGTCTGTTTTCTGAATAAAGCTATCTGAATCTGCCAATAAATTACATTTGACTGAAAGAAGAGATTTGTGTAAGTATGTGAAAGGAAACATTGTTAGGTGGAGGTTCTTCTCCTTGAAACCACACACTTCCTTACATTCCATAGCAATGCAATTCATATGGGGATATAAAGAAGCATGTAATCTCAAAAAGACAAATTTTCCTCTTGCCTCTTTGTGGCCAAACACTATTACCTGCTCCTGTGAAGAAAATACAACTGCCACAGATGGGTTGTTTGGCCAGAGTGTTCTCAGTTTAGCATTTTGTGTGCAAATCCTGCCTTGGTCATGGACTTGAATGTGTACCATGACCTTGGATGCATCTACAGACAACACTGCTGCCCTGGAGACTAGGACATGGAATAATGGCTTCAAACTACAGGAAAGAGATTCCACCTGAACATTAGGAAGAACTTCCTGACTGTGAGAGCTGTTCAGCAGTGGAACTCTCTGCCCTGGAATGTGGCGGAGGCTTTTAAACAGAGGCTGGATGGCCATCTGTCGGGGTACTTTGAATGTGATATTCCTGCTTCTTGGCAGGGGTTGGACTGGATGGGAGGGGTTGGACATGAGGTCTCTTCCAGCTCTATGATTCTATGAGTAGACATAGGACCTTGTCATATGGGGTTTTTAAAAACAATTTTACGGCCACAGACATGACTGGCCACACCCCCTTTCGACATGTTTACCGCATCCTATGTTGATCGCTGCAAATTTCTACATCATGTTATTTATCTGGATTTCAGCAAAGCATTCAAATTAACCGGTTTGATCTACATGGAAATGTGATATCACCATTTAATGTATGGATAAGTAAATGTACTTGCAGGTCTCTTGAGATCTCCCCTAATGCAACAATTTTGCCCCTTTAGGCCCGATATTAGAGGTGAGCCTTCCAATAGTGCCCTGGTTTCATCCATTTCTTCCTACCTGGTGAAGCACCTGCATATCAACAACAAAACCACTAGTGGCAACACCTCCATGCTTCCTGTTCCACTCTCCAACAACACAATTTGGCACACCAGACACACCTCTAAAGAAACATTTATTTTACTTAACTGCAGAGTAACCCCCCTCTCCTAAATTGCATTAAAGTCTAAACAAAGCACCACTTAAAAAATAGGAAAAGGTTGTGTGTTCCAACAACACTGGCATTGAGGTACACATGAATTATTTTTCAGGTATGGATTCAGCCTAAGTGAATATCGAGAATACTTCCTCCCTGGTGCAGCTGTTTTTAATCCTTAAGTACTGACTATATAATAAAATATTCCTTAAAGTTGTTCTTTAGATTTGATAAATCTAAAGAACCACTTTAAGGTATATGCCTTAGATATGTACTATGATCAGAAGGTTTTTTATAGAGTGAGGTGTATGTCTTATAGTCTTATTCCTTTACATTAAAGTGATAGTATGAACATGAATGTTGTTATTTATAGCTGACCCATCTGAGTCCCCTTGGGGAAATGGAGCAGCCTATAAATAAATTATTATTATTATTATTATTATTATTATACATTATTACATATTATTATTATTATTATTATTATTATTATTATTATTATTATTATTACTTTAGAGCATCCTGATTTCTATCCAAATAAAGAAATCATATATGAATTTATACCAAATCACTATTTTTTTTTCTATAAGGAGTGGTGGGATAGATAGTATTTTTCTCAAAATTTCCTATACACAGGTTAGCCACTTCTGGAGATGCGTGGCACAGCATTGCTATTTATCAAATCTGAAATAATTTCTGTATAAAACCATTTAAGGCAATATGCTCAATAACTTGTGAAACGATTCCAAATCACCCAAATTAAGCAAATTGGGTCTCACATCCAAATCTTCAAGCCTGATGATAAAGGCAGTTAGAAAACTGAAATCACCTCAACTGAAATATTGCAATATTTGTGTTGTCATAGGTGAAGCCTGAGTTTGTGGTATGTTTGTATATCTGACATCCATGTTTGCCAAAATATTTTCTTCTGCTGTTACAGAGAGCCAGGACTGTTTTTTTTTTTTGTCGTGTCAGGAGTGACTTGAGAAACTGCAAGTCGCTTCTGGTGTGAGAGAATTGGCTGTCTAAAAGGACATTGCCCAGAGGATGCCAGGATTGGTAATAGTTTTCGTTTGAAAAAAGAGTGGTGGTTTGCTGTCCTGCAATGTACAGCATTTTGATTTTCTTCCTTTCAATAAAAGATGTCCTCAAATATCTTGGGCTAAACCCAATAGGAGCCTAGCAGTAGTAGACCTGTTGGAATTAATAGGACTAAGATGCAATTAATAAGATCAGTTTATCCGGTGGCGCAGTGGGTTAAACTCCTGTGCCGGCAGGACTGCAGACCGACAGGTCACAGGTTCGAATCCAGGGAGAGGCGGATGAGCTCCCTCTATCAGCTCCAGCTCCTCATGCGGGGACATGAGAGAAGCCTCCCACAAGTATGATAAAAAACATCAAAAATCATCTGGGCGTCCCCTGGGCAACGTCCTTGCAGACGGCCAATTCTCTCACAACAGGATGGTCCTGACATGACAAAAAAAAATTAAATGGATAAACTGCTGCTGGATATATTTAAAAAAATCTAGAAGATACATTTATATGTCATTGTTAAAAATAATGACATATAGCTTCACTGCTTCACAAAGTCTCCATGCTCTGTCCTTTCTAATAGTGGGATTTCCCTAAATTCAGCATTTTCCATTCATTCAATTTCATGCCTCTGTACTTCTGAATTATTTTCCTTCCCCCTAATAACTCATTTAGAACTTCTCTATTTAAAAAAAATCTAAAAGTTGCATTTATACATCATAATTAAAAATAAAACAATCCTTGGACACAAAGAATAAGAATCACATGAAAATATTGGATATTACCTCATAAGCTATTGGAGTCTTCCTCTTGAATCTTGTTCTGTGCATGAACTCAGGTCTCCATCGTCCAAATTGTGGTGGAGTATTAGGGATAATTCAAAGCAACCTTGGAGACCTACAGAGAGGCCTTTCTTCCAGGATGTTTTCCCTGAGAGACTGACAATCTAACCATTGATTTTGTTTAGGGCTGTTGATGACTAGAAATAACAATATACTTATTAGTGACCTCTTTTTTTTTTGTTTCCAAAACCATTTATCTCCTGTCTGTTAATTATTCTGCGGTTGACAGCTTCACTGCTTCACAATGTCTCCATGCTCTGTCCTTTCTAATAGTGGGATTTCCCTAAATTCAGCATTCTCCATTCATTCAGTTTCATTCCTCTGTACTTTTGAAATCTTTTCCTTCCTCCTAATAACTTATTTAGAACTTCTCTCCTTGTCCTGTACTTCCCTGCAAGAGCAGTTAAGTAGTTCTTCCGGATGTATGCCCCAATGCCATTCTGCTAAAGCAACCCTGGTTTCTCCTGCATTTCTTTGGAACTGCTTGGAAATGCATGCTGAGTCCCTTTTGTAGCAGACACTCCCCCACCTCTTTACTTGGCCTCCCACCTGTCTCCGTCCTTTATAGGCCATGGCCAACCGTACACCTCCTGTCCACCTCAATCACGGGATGTGACAGCAGCACAGATGGCTGCTGAATTTCACCTCTTCAGCTGTCCTATGCTGAAAGGGGAGTGGCCATCTTTAAATTTTATCTTATAGATCTGCCCTGCAATGCCTTCCTCTACAACGTAACATGCTCTTGAAAATAACCATTTCTTTGGTAATGCTAACATGGTTTTAACAGCTTCCTAACAGGATGGCCTCTGAAGATGTTTTCACAGAATTTTCCCTGGATAAAGTCTTGTACAAGTGAACACAATCATGCAAGCAACCCAACATTTGCAAGAGGAAACATTAAGGGCTTTATCACATTGAGGTCTTTAAGCCGGGTGAATCTGTTAGGTAATGGGGCAAATCCATTGGGCAGTGGGGAAAATCAACATTAGCACCCTGAATCACCTCCTTCCCTATCATATGGGGGGAAACTGTGCTGGTACGGCTGTACCAGGAGCTCCAACTTTGCTTTGTATTAAATGTTTGCTTGCAGTCCAAGGTTTCAAGGAGTCTGCAGAAAGGTGGCTTCCTCTGGTTGCAGTCGTATGGCAAGTCACCTGTCCATCATCATTAAGTTTTGGTTCCGCCCCTTTCTCAGGGCAATTGGGAAGGGAAGGGAGCCATTTTTAGTTAGTCTCACACAAGGTAGCTAAGCTATAGGACGTAGACCAGCTCGTCCTGTAGAAAAGCTTCCTTTCTTAAGAGCATCCAGGGGAAAAAGGAGCATCCAGGGAAACTGACCATCCAGGGAAACTGATTCACTGAACTCAGCTGAAATATGTTTAAGCCTCAGCCGGTAAGGTCTGCTTGATAGCCAGATGCACTTGGAATCGGTAGTAGCACCCACACTGACGAGGCATAGATAGAAAGCAGCCTGGGAGAGGTTAAAAAGGGGTTTTTCCTACGGAGAAGGTTCAGTTGATCGAAGTCAGGTGCCAGTCCATTGAAGACTAGATCTCATTCCCAGTAAAGCAGTGGTTCTCAACCTGTGGGTCCCCAGGTGTTTTGGCCTTCAACTCCAGAAATCCTAACAGTTGGTAAACTGGCTGGGATTTCCAGGAATTGTAGGCCAAAAACTTCTGGGGACCCCAGGTTGAGAACCACTGCCTTAAAGTGTTGTTTGAACCATTGGAGATGTGTTGTTTGTTCCATAATAAAGACTTTGTTGTATCATTAAAGACTCTAAAGACCATCACTTCAGAAAAATCCCTGACAACTTCTCTTTGAGGCCCCCTGGCTTCCCGCTGGGCTTAAAGTATACGTCCTATAGAAAAGTACAGCTATTACAGGCCCAGTGCATGACAGAACAGAAACCATTGCTGCCCCCCACCTGTTGTCCTTGGACACTTCCAGGACAGAGCCCGCCGGAAGTAGCCCTGTGTCGTGTGATGAGCTCTGGTGTCATGAATAACTTTTCAATGACTTTAAAGCATAGGTTTTTTTTTATTGCAGTTTGCAGTGTGAGAGGGTATATCAGATTACAGAAAAAACATTTAGACATACCGAAATACAGATTCTATGCAACTACATTGGACTCACAATTACATGGCTAACAAACAAAGAAAGGGGAATTACATTCACACCACATGTATACACATTCATCCTCAGGTATTCAAATATTACCATATCATTTTCTCCCTCCTTGGGGAAGCACCTTTTAGGCCATACCCTGCTTTCCTGCAGACTGTCAATGGCATTCCATAACGCTAAAACTTCAAAATGCCGAAATGCCAAAACTTCTTTCCCTAAGAACAATGCCAAGGACTAGATCTCTGTTTTCCATACAGCAGAACCTGACTCCTTGCACAAAATCGAAGACTTCAAAAACGCATTTCTTTCTCTTCCCTTGAGAAAGAAGCCCCAAAGTGACCAGACTGCTCCTGTACAAATCTGCCACTCTCCATATGTACACTATCTCTCTTCCTTCCCATGGAGCAGATCGTAGCGGGTGGAAAAGACTCCTGCGTTCTGCCACACTTTGAGCATTATTAGATTGAGTCTTTTATAGGAATATTCTGTTGATGTAGTCCTAAAGTTGTAAATTAATGATAGATGTCTTCCATCCTGGCTCCATCTCAGTTTCCTGGCCAAATGTTGACACTTCTTGATTGGTGTTGACAAACACAAGGATTGTGTTGACTTCCTTCTTAACATAAGGAATTTTGCAAACATTTTTGTTATCACTGTCCCAATTCTTATCAGAGTTTACTTTTTTCAGCTGTCATTAGCAACCTTTAATTACAGTCCAGCAAGCAGGTCGTTAGTCATTGCAGGCCTTAATATTATACTGGTGTCTCCAAAATTATTAACTCCATCTATGCATCCTTCCATTCTTCCATGCATTCCCACACATCATATTAAATCCACATTTATAAAATCTGCACATTAAATTTTTGTGACACTGGCGGGTTCTGTGCTGGCTCTGTTCTGGAAGCATCAAAGGATAGAGCCCAAGCCCCAGCCCCATGTGATGAAGTTGTAAAACACATGCAAAATATAGTTGCCAGATTTTAGGGTGCCAGTTGAAGTCTCAGGGGATTGCAGGCTCCACAAAGAAATAAAAACACAAGTAAAAAACAAGGCAAAAAGGTGAGGACAGCAGCTGACCTTCTATTTGCAGTCTGAGTCTTATTTTCCTGGTTCTTCTTTCAGGAAATCTGCTCTTTTCTCAATAGCTTTCAGAATAAAAAGGCTTACTCTGATTATGATGGATCTTTCCTGTCCTTGCAAATGGGATGTCAGAAGACCATTTCTGTTGGGGGACCTGCAGTTGGATAATATTGGATGTAAATATCTGTCTCGCAATTCAGTGTATGCTGGACGTCAATTAAGAAATGTTCAATATCTTCCACTATTTGTTCTCCCCATACACAGAATCTCTCACATTAAAAACTTTCTACAAAGGAAAACAACTTGGAACGTCTACTGGGTAAAAGGCAAGATCGAAAGGAAGGAAGGAAGGAAGGAAGGAAGGAAGGAAGGAAGGAAGGAAGGAATACAGGGTTGATTCTGGAACAGACACAAAGTTTCTACTACATCCTCAACTTCCCATTTACTTTCTTTCAACTAGCACAAAATGAAGCAGTGGGAATCCTTTTTTCGAAATCAGTAGCTCAATATTAATCCCGTAATTAATTTAAGAGAAAGAGAGAGAACAAGATTTCCAGGCATCGAAAATGTAGGCATTTTGAGAGGCTTATCAATGGATCTTGTGTATCCCTGGAAGATTTCCCTTTCTGCCGCACGCTCCGAGATGTTGGCATTGGTGCCTCCCACCTGCTCTTCTTGAGGTTTGTACAGCTGCTCTAAAGGGAGTAGGCGAGTGTACCGAATTACAGAAATACTGCACCATAGGTCAAAGGTGAAATATTTTGTCTGAAAGGGTAACATATGGGAATGGGAGGACAAAAGGGGTTGCAGTGTTTAAAGGGTGTAGCCTGGACGCACTGAAATACAATAGACATAGTGATATCATAGGCATATGATAAGAACTCATTGTGGAAAGGAATGGATCATTTGTGTTAGTACCTAATGTAAAACTGGTCAGCAGAAATCCAGCAGCGACACCAGGTGCTTGTTTACAATAGAAGCCTTCATGTTCTAGAAATGCCAGCAAACCAAGATCAAGAAATTGGCTTAGACTTTGACTAAGGGCACCGACCATTTCTCCTTGTAAGGAGCCCCCGGTGGCACAATGGGTTAAGCCCTTGTGCCAGCAGAACTGTTGACCAAAAGGTCGTCAGATCGAATCAGGGGAGCGGAGTGAGCTCCCATCTGTCAGCTTCAGCTTCTCATGTGAGGACATGAGAGAAGCCTCCCACATGATTTATTTTTGTTGTTGTTCATTCATTCAGTCGTTTCTGACACTTTGTGATCACATGGACCAGCCCATGCCAGAGCTCCCTGTCGGTCGTTACCACCACCAGCTCCTTCAAGGTCAATCCAGACACTTCAAGGATACCATCCATCCACCTTGCCCTTGGTCGGCCCCCTTCCTTTTTCCTTACATTTCCCCCAGCATCGTTATCTTCTCTAAGCTTTCCTTTCTTCTCAGGATGTGGCCAAAGTACTTCATCTTGGCCTCTTCTATCCTTCCCTCCAATGAGCAGCCGGGCTTTATTTCCTGGAGGATGGACTGGTTGGATCTTCTCGCTGTCCAAGGCACTCTCAGTACTTTCCTCCAGCACCACAGTTCAAAAGCATCTATCTTCCATTGCTCAGCCTTTCCTAAGGTCCAGCTCTCACATCCGTAGGTGACTATGGGGAATACCATTGCTTTTACTATGCGGATCTTCGTTGCCAGTGTGATGTCTCTACTCTTCACTATTTTATCAAGATTGGACATTGCTCTTCTCCAAAAAAGTAAGCATCTCCTGATTTCCTGGCTGCAGTTTGCGTCTGCAGCAATCTTTGCACCTAGAAATACAAAGTCTGTCACTTATTTATTTACAGTATTTATATTCTGTCCTTCTCATCCCGCAGGGGACTCGAGGCAGATTACAATGTACATATACATGGCAAACATTCAATTCCATAGACACACTACATATATAGACAGATACTCAGAGGCTATTAAACATTTCAGCTTTTTTCATGAGGATATTCTGGCCACCAGAGCAGCTGTTGCTTCACTGTCAATTTGTGACACTGATGAAGTACTTCCTCATTCTTTGCATGCTTGCTGGATATTTTTATGGTGTCGTAAATTAGCCTCCCTACATAAGCGGTACCTACATTTCCTACTTGACAGATGCAACTGTCTTTTGGGCTGCAAAGGTCGATAGAAAGCTACACAAATTGGTCGGAAGCTCACTCTGACCCAGGCTGACTTCGAACTCCACAGTCCCGGTGCGCCACAGTCCCAAGGATAAAACATCCGGGTGTCCCCTGGGCAATGTCCTTGCAGACAGCCAATTCTCTCA